AACCTTACCTTTTGAAATATTTTCAATTTTGTGAAATTGCCTCGGAAATTGCAGTAAAAAAAGGCTTCGTTTCTCAAAGGGTATCAAAGTTTTTAATACTAAATATTTACTGAAGATTGATATTGATCAGATATTGTGCTTCAATAATAAAAATTATGCTACAGAGTGTCAACAAATTTATATTAAATAATTACTAGCTTTAAACGGCAATAACTTGATTAATTTAAATGACACACCCTGTATATTTTACGTGAATTAGACGCACAATTTAATTGTCTATCAAATTGTATTAAACAAATTTTTGCCTATCTCTTCAAATGTTCGTAGAAAATACATTTTCTCATAATTTAGACCTTATTTACCACTATACCCATGGAATATTGGCATTTTAGATTATTTTTAAAAATGTAACAAATTTTTAAAAAAGTACCAGATACTAATATTGTCGATATAGTTCGCTTGTTTCGTTGAAAAATTAAAAAAAACTGTTTAAATAGTTTTTGTTAAAGAGGACTAATTAATATAATCCCAGTATTCAAACTACATTAATTGACTGTTTACGTTGATTAATAATAATTGCTCCAAATACTAAAAAAAAGAATTTTGTATGTGTATTAGACAGTGTGGTAAAAAGTAGCACCTTATAAATTTTATTTCATTTTTTGACGAATGCTTATTTATAACAACATAGACGTTAATTTTCATAAGTTAACTTTTTGTATAAGGAAATTAAAATAACTTTGGTTGCACATCATAATACGACCACCAGCAAACTCCATAAGACGACGCATGGTGTCATTGATGACGTGCAACAAAAGTTGTTTTAATTTCCCTTTAAACAAATCGGCTTGTAATATTATTATCTCTACCACCTGTATATATGTTACTTTAAAAAAAATCTAAAATGTCAATATTCCATTGGTATAGTGATAAATGAGGCCTAAATTAGAAAAACATGAATTTTCTACGAAAACTTGAAGAGATAGGTAAAAAATTATTTAATACAATTTGATAGACAATTTAATTGTGCAATTAAATTTAGTTATTGCCGTTTAAAGCTAGTAATTATTTAATATTAATTTTTGGACATTCTGTATAAAGTTGTATAATTTTTATTATTGCAGCACAATAACTGATCAATAAAATATTCTTTAGTATATATTTAGTATAACAAACTTTGATACCCTTGGAGAAATGAAGCCTCAAATCTTTTACTTAATTTCACAAAATTGAAAATATTTCAAAAATGGTAAGGTTTAAATGCGATAAACCTTAATCAAATTTACCCTTATTTCAATCGTAAAATCTAAAAATATAATAATATACAGGGTGTTCTATTTAGAAAAATACAACTATAATATTTTTCACTTATTTGGGACATTTTGTATCTTGTAAAATTATTTTTAAATTTTAGCTCTAATAGTCCTTCAACGAACCCAAAACTTACAATTTGTAAAAATCTAATCGTTTAGCTACAATACTCCGTATCGTATGTGGTGAACAACCCTGTATACTGATTAGTATGTTACGTAATAAAACAAATAAATCTTAAATTTTATTAGTTAATGTGAGAATTTATGACACAATAAACAAATAGAAATTGAAACTGTTACTAACCTCACTTCCTTATTTTCAGTGGAACGACCTGTCAACCCGTGCCAGCCGAGCCCGTGCGGCGCGAACGCGGTGTGCCAAGTGCGAGGCGAGAGCCCGGCCTGTTCGTGCGTCGAGGGCTTCGTAGGCCAGCCGCCCTCGTGTCGACCGGAGTGCACTATCAATCCGGAGTGTCCGAGCGCGCGCGCATGTATCAACCAAAAGTGTCGCGACCCGTGCCCGGGCACGTGCGGACCCAACGCGCTGTGTTCCGTCGTCAATCACAACCCGGTGTGCACGTGCGGTCCGGGTTTCACCGGTGATCCGTTCAGAGGATGCATCGTGACGCCACGTAAGTCGATTTTTGCATGTTTGTTTTTTATTTGGGTGGTGGATGGAAGAACAAGATCAAATTTATAAGCGTTTTAGGGCTTTTGAAGGATACCGTATGGACTGGAGATAAAAATTTGACTTAGTTTTATTGATAATATAACAATAATATACAGGGTGTCCAAGGCTGAGCGTGCATTAGTTTCTAGAGAACTACAATATCTATATCGGAGATTTTTTGCACACTATTGTTTTACAACGAGATCAATCGATTAAAAATATTTTCAATATGGCGGCACTTTCTGAAATACCGGAAGTTGACAGCAACTTTCTCATTTTAAATGGGTACCCCCATTTTTTTTATTACATACTTAAATTCTCTGTAAAATTTTATGAATTTTGATATCAAAATCTGTATACCTAACATTAACCGTTCTTGAAAAAAAATATATTTAAAATTTTTGGAAAAAAAACTGCCTGTCAAAAAAATCTGTATAGCCAACAACAAATTTAGTCGACAGCCACTGTGGCATAAGAAGGAGACATGTGGCTATCTATTTCAAAAACTAAATTGTTCGAATGTCATAATATTGGCCGTAGCTGTCATGGAATTGAGCGATTAAAAATGAAAACCCACTATTTTTATTTCACTAGTAAAAATAAATAAATAAAAAAATGCCTTTATTGTCAAAAAAAATTACAATTTGTAGACAAAGGTAAAGTAAACAAACAAAGTAAACAAACAATGTACACAAACAAATAAACAAAAGATAATACAAAACATTATACAAATAATATTGTCAGTCTTATTGTTTAAAATAAACATTTATATAAATTTTTACAATGTCAAAAAATAAAAAAAAATAATAATAATATTCAAAAATATTTAGTTAGTTATAGTGAATATCAATGACCTCTAAATAAATTTATTTCAGTGTCATTGGTAAATATAGCAATAGCAAACATTAGACCAGTGTTTACAAGATCAAATTCGATTATCAAAATATAATTCATTTACGGCGTAGAAAGCCTTGTCTAGTAAATAACAGTTCAATGCTTTGCGAAAAGAAGAAAATGATGTTATGGATTTGATTTCAAATTGCAGGTGATTGTGCATTTTTTTCGAGTTGTATAATATTGAACTTTTAACTAACTCTGAGCGTGGGGTAGGTAGATAAAGATCTTGCTCCGCGTTCCTGAGTGGATAAGTGTGAGATGGCCTTTCTTGAGAAGCTGATACATACATTCAAATATAAATAAGGAAGGAAGAGTTAATATTTTTAATTTTTTAAAAAAGTCCTGGCAATGAGTTCTGCTGTTTAGTCCCAGTGAATATCGAACAGCTCTCTTCTGGAGCTTGAAAATGCGGTCAAATTGAGTCGCACAACACGTACCCCAGAATGGAAGGGCATACCTGAGGTGCGACTCAAAAAGTGCATAATAAACAGTTCTAGCCACTGACAAGTTAAGCTCCTTAAAAACAGATCTTAATGCAAAACAGGCAGAGCTCAATTTTTTCGATAAAGCTTCGATACGCATGTCGCATTTCAGAGAATTGTCCACAACAAGCCCTAAGAATTTTACAGATTTTACGACGTCAATGGTGGTGTTGTTAAGTACAAAAGGCTGCAGCGAGTTTTTATACGACAAAGCTTTAGTTTTAGAAATGTTGAGACTCAGGAGGTTCGAATCGCACCAAGATTTAATGGTGATTAAGTCATTTGATATAATCCTATGAAGTGCCGTGACGTCCTTGTTGCTCCAAGTGAAGCTAGTGTCGTCGGCAAAAAGACATATTTTGCCACTGATGTTTATGTTAGCAGTGTCGTTAATAAAAAGAAGAAACAAAATGGGGCCTAGTACTGAGCCTTGTGGTACTCCACATTCTATTGGCTTGCTAGAAGACAACGTGGTATCCACCCTCACAAGTTGACTTCTGTTGCTCAAATACGACTTAAACCATTCGAGAGATGTTTTTGAATTCGTTACTTTTTAATAATTATACATAAACCTATACCTAAAATAAATTGTTTTTAAGTTATTTAAGATTTAGTTTTAAAGCGTAATTTTTTCTTGATTTTATCATCTAGCTTCCTTAATAACTTAATTTAACATTAAGTGTCAAACCATCAGACAATTTATTTCCTTCTATTAAAAAACTAACTATTTTAATTCCGTATATTATAAATACTATCCCAAAAAATCCTACATAGTTATAGACATTTTTTATTATGAATACTACTCGTAAGACTTTATAAAGTGTATTTTTAAAAATATATCTCGTATTTTAGTGATAGCTAATAGCAATATGACTTGGACAGATATAGTTTTACATCGCGTGACGTTTAAAGTCATAAAAAAACAAAAAAAAATATAGGCTTTAATACTAAATCTTAAATAATTTAAAAACGATTTATTTTAGGTATAGGAACATGTATAATCAAAAAGTAACGAATTAAAAAACCTTTTCACCAGTGAAATAAAAAAGTGGGTTTCCATTTAAAAAACATGATTTATCTTTAATCGCTCAATCCCATGACAGCTACGGCCAATATTATATGACATTCGAACAATTTAATTTCTAAAGTAGATAGCCACATGTCTCCTCTTTATGCCACAGTGGCTGTGGTAATTACTAAATTCGTCGTTTAGGATATCCAGATTTTTTGACAGGCAGTTTTTTTCCTCCACAATTTTTTTTCTCTCAAAAACGGTTAATATTAGGTGTAGAGTGTTAACATCAAAATTCATAAAATTTTACAGAGAATTTAAGTATGTAATAAGAATGTTGCTGTCAACTTCCAGTATTTCCGGAAGTGCCGCCATATTGAAAATATTTTTAATCGATAGATCTCGTTATGAAACAGTGATGTGCAAATCTCTGGATATCTGTGTCCAAATCTCTGTCTCCGATCTGGATATTGTAGTTCTCTAGAAACTTCTAATACACTCTCACAATTTGTGAAACTTCTAAAAAAATAGATAAATCTTTTGATATCTTCAAAAAGTCTAAGAAAGCTAATAAAACTTTTTAAATGTGTAATAACACGCCGCCTGCTTCAACTACGGTGGCAAGCATAGTTTTACGCACCAGCTTCGCTAGTTGGAACATAAATGGAGCTATAACGAAACTCATAAATTAAAGAAGAAATTCATAATTGATTAGACGGAACTTAGTCAGCCATATTGAAACCCCTTTGCGGTCTCACAAATTTCGTTCATATACTCTTTCCTTAGTAGTTTTAGTCAATAAGTTGGAACTTTAGATTTTCTACAGTTGTAGGTACTTTTTGGTAAAGATATTTTCAAATAATTTATTGCTGTTAAGAGAAAAATAGAAAAGAATAAGATTGAAAACTAGATTATTAAAAGATTTTAAGATATAGAGTCGATTAAGAATAATAATTCCGTTTTAATCTCATTATGTATTTAGCATTTTCCAAAAGTTATAATTTTGTGTGAGTAATATTATTAAAATAATTTTTCATATTATATTAATTGTAGGTCATCCGCTATACAGGGTGCTACAAATTCCAGGTACGATCATTGGTATCTCGGTAACCGTAATAGATACGAACATAGTTAAATTGGGGCAAAGTTGCGCTTTAGAATGTTCACCAAGATGCCATCAAAAAAGTTTTGAAAATTTCAAGGATTGCTTAGTTTTTTGGAAAAAACGGATTTTTTTGAAAATAATTTTTATTTTTTCCTGTCGTTATTTTTTAGAAAATCAAAAAACTAATTACACATTCTCATAGCCACTTTATTAGGGCTATCTAAAGGTATTTTTAGATTTTCAAATTAGCTTATAATTTGTGAGATACAGAGGCCAAATTATTTTTTTTAAATACGGACCTGCATTTTTTATTTCAGATTTTGAAAGACCTCGGTCTCCTGAGTACAGTGATATGCCACACTTGATACTTTTTTTTTGGGTAAAACAATAAAAAAATATTTAATTGTTCTTTAAAATAATTTCAAATAAGACTCTGGTTTTTAATTTATTTAATCTGATTATATTCAGCACAACAATATTGATCAGCGCTAATTAACATTAAATAAAGAAAATCAATAAAAATTATTTTGGACATTTGAAATCAATAAATGTCACCATTAATAGTACAAAAACAATTAACGAGTAATAAAAAACAATTAACGAGTAATATAAAACAATTAGAGAGTACAAAATGCATTCGGAAGTATAAGAAGATCTGTTCAAAGAGCTATAAAAAAGATTGAACAAAAATAAATTTGTGCATTATGGAGTAATATGGTGGTAACCCTTTCGAACATGCAGAGCAATAGAAACTAGTTTGTAGAAGTTGATTTATTTATACTTAACTACGATTAATATTACACATATTATTAGATCGTACACGGGGATTTCAAATTCACAACAAAAAAAGTTAAAAATAATAGATAGCTTTAAATTGCTGACCTGGATATTAATTATTTGAATCTTTCAAGACGTGATTTTCCTTATTCAATGTTAATTAGCGCTGATCAATATTGTTGCGCTGAATATAATCAGATTAAATAAATTAAAAAACCAGAGTCCGAGTTGAAATTATTTTAAATACCAATTAAATAGTTTTTTATTGTTA